CCCCGCAGACGCCCCCCCCCAGGCTCTGACTGTCCTCCCCACAGACCCCCCGGCTCCGGCTGTCCTCCCCACAGACCTACCCGGGGGCTCTGCCTGCTGCCGCAGCTGTTGGCTCTGCTCACATGCCCTGTCCTCTGGGTGGAGGGGCTGCCCATGGTCATCTCGAGGGATTATCTTCCCATGGAAAGGGCACTGCAAAGGTCATGCAGGCAGCAAACTGAAGGCGGGCCACCACCCGGGACCCCCTCCACCCCCCAATGAAGGCTGAGGACACAGCACACAGGCCACCTGTGGTAAGTCACTCAGAGCACTTGAGGGGCCTTGGCTCTGACCTGAGCAGGGGGACAGCAGTGGGGTAGAGGCTCAGGCACTGTGTCCACTTGGTGGCCCGAGTCCAGCCCTCCCGCTCGCCCGCTCTGGAAACCCAGGCATCGGGCTGGCGGTGTCTGACTCCTGGCCTCCAGGGTCCCTAGCCAGTGCAGAGCTAGGTCCAGGGGTGGGGGGTGGGCACCTTTAGCCGGTCCTGACGCTCGCAGAGCCGGCCGTCGGGCCGCAGAGCTCGGCAGCGGTGCTGCACGGGCTCAAAGCTCCCGGCAAAGGTGATGTGGCGGCTGCGGAGCATCTCTGAGACGTCGGCATTGTCCACCTCTTCTTCCACCTCACTGGGCTTCCAGAAGCGATGCTGGGAGTCGGCTCTGCAGGGCCAGGGTGTTAGCAGCATCAATGGAGCAGCTGGAGCCCAGAGGCCCACCTCGGGCGCCAACCCTGCTGGGACCGGGGGCCTCCCAAGGTCGCCTGGCCTTGTGTGGACACAGCCAGCTCTGGCCACCTCGAGTCCACATGCCTGTGACCACCTCGTGCCAGGGGTACACTGCAAAGGCAGACATGGGGAGAGGAGAGAACAGGACAGACAGGGGCCCACTCAGTCGGCCCCACACGCCAGCCTGGGTCACCTCTGCAGGGAGGAAGCCCTGCCTCGCTGCACCCTGGCATGGCAGCCTTGGCACACGTGTGGCACTGTCACCCCACCCTCGAAGGACCCGGCTCAGTTGTGCGAGGACACCCTCAGGAAACCAGGGGCGGGGAGCAGGAGGGGCAGGTGGGGTGGGTGGTCTTCCACCCTGGTCCCTGGGTTGCAGGAGGAGTCTGTACTCGGGGAGTGGCCCACAAGCAGGGGATGGGAGCAGCTAGGGTGGTGCTCGAGGGTCAAATGACCAGACCCTGCACACGGTCCCCTGGGAGCCTTGGGCACATCTATACTCACTTGACAACCTTGCCGGCCACTGGCTGCTCCTGGCCCCAGTAGCACAGGTCCACTCCAAAGGGCACCACAGGCGCTCGGGCGCGCTCTGCGGCCAGCTTCTGGGCTTTGTCGGCCCCCAGCGGCACCCTGGGGGTGCTACAAGGGCATCACAGGGCTCAGGGACCAGCCACAGGCTGGCTCCTACAGCCCTCCTCTCCTTGCGCCCCCCTCCTGTGCCAGCTCAAGACTCTGCCCCCATGGCTGGCCACACTGAGGAAGGCAAGGAGGATGGGGGACCTCAGCTCCCACCATCACCCTTGGGACAACGGCAGTTGTGCCCCTGGTCAGTGGAGTGTCCTCCCCACGCCCAGGCCTCAGTTTCCCTGTCTGGGGAGTGAGCCAGTGGGCCCTGATTGCTGTGGTCCCCACTTTCTGGGCATTTGCTTGTGTTACAAAGGTCAACATTTCCCTCTTAAAGACTTGCAACCATCAGAGACACGGCATGGCTGTGCCCGCCCCCGTCCCGCCCCCGCCCCACCCGTCTCAGCCCAAAGAGGCTTCCTTGAGCCCTTTGCAACCCTTTGCCTCTCAGGAATGGGCGGGGTCTCCCCACTGGACAAGCCCGCTCCCCCTCGTGCCCCTGGCCTATGGCACAGCCCAGGGCAGCAGTCACTGTCATCCTGGGGGGCTTCCCCAAAGGAACCAGGCAAGCGCTGCCAGATGGGGGCGCTGACCAGGTCACCTGGTGGACATGGGTGTGGGCAGCCAGGCTCTGAGCAGCTGCAGCTGGGCGGCAGCAGAGGTAGGGTCCGATGCCTCCTCATCCCTCCTTGTCCTCGCTGTCCCGGGCACACCTCCAGCAGCACGCCCCCCTGGGGGGATTTTCTCCAGAGCCTGGGCAGGGACTGCTGGGTCCAACCCTAGAACAAACATACATGTCCAGTTCTGAGCACCCTCCCCACACTGCTGAGCATGGCTTCCAGTGTCCCACCCCAGGCCCCAGGGCAGGAAGGGTCAGATTCCCAAACACAACTGGATTTATAACCCCTGTGGCCTGAGACCACTCCCCATGCTGAGACACCTACCACAGGCCCAGGCCTAACACGGGCTGCCCACGCTGAACTGTCCACTGCAGGCCTGACACTGGCTGCCCACATTGAGCTGTCCACTGCAGGCCTGACACTGGCTGCCCACACTGAGCTGTCCACTGCATGTCTGACACTGGCTATCCACCTGCAGCAGCCCAGCTCTGCCAGTGTCTCAGCACTGGCCCATGGCCAGCTGTCAGGCAGTGTCTCTGTCCCTGTCCAGCCCACTCTAGCTGTTGTGTAAGGTGGTGTCCAAGGGCTGTGGGCAGACTGAGGAGACAGGAGGGGCTGGGGTGTGGCTCAGCACAGCCAAGGCTCTCCATGAGGTACAGCCCCTTGCCGCCCCTAACTCGGGGGTGGGATGTAGTGTAGAGAAGTGGGGGATTACAGACAGAGAAAACCGGGAAGTGTTTCCCAAGAGAAAAAGCTGATGCCTGCAGAGAAATAACACTCCCATCAGCGACAGCAACCCTGGATGGAAAGAGGTCTGAGAAGGTCATATTGAGAAGCGGGTCTGCCCCAGACATTTATACCCAGTTAAACTATCGTCTGGAAGTGAGGCTGAAAGGTCATGGGCCGAGGGTCATAGTGTGCACAAGACTCCCTGAGGTTTGCCCGGTACCTTGAAAACCCTCTTAGAGGGGGTCACCTGCCGGGAAGAAAAGGAAATTTACCAACACATGGGGGGTGCACACAAAGGTGTTGGAAGCACAGGCATGGGCACACCTCGTCAACATAGCTTCCAAATGCACAAGGCAACTCAGCATCATTTGTGATTGGGGAAATGCAAGTCAAAACCACGTGCCTCACATCCCATCTCCTGGGGCGGCTACCAACCCAAAGACGGAAGAGACGCCTCGGCGAGCGTGTGGAGGCGCTGGGCCCTCCCTCAGGCCCTGCAGGCGGGAAGGCGGCATGGTGCCATTGCTAACCCACGAGAAAGACTAACATTAACTCAGGAAAGCCACACGAGCATGCCGGTCCCAGGTGTGTTCCCCAAAGAATGGGGAGCAACAACGCCCACACACGCCCACACACCCACCAGTGTGGACCACAGTCCTCTCCAAGACAGGCCAAGGTGATAGCAACCTGGCACCCACTGGTGGATGAGGAAGGACAGAAGGAGAAACAAACGTGCTCTCGCCATGCCAGGGGCTCGGCTCGGCTGTAGAGAGTGAAGCCCCGATACAAGGGGGAGGGGCCCTGAACACATTACGTGCAGTGACTGCGTGGAGTAAGAAGGACAGCTCTTACCTGACACTGTGTACATGAAGTATCTAGAACACAGTCAACTCACAGAGACAAAGAGTCCGTGGGCACCGGGAGACGAGGGGGGAATGGTCAGATAGAGTTCGCACAGGGAGAACCAGAGGAAGGTGGGGTGCGGCCACCTCGCAGCGTGAACTCCAGCAGACCCCTCGGAGTGGGCGTTCACACACAGACAGCAGACAGCGGTTATGGGTGCTTCACCTCACGTAATTGCGAAGGCGACGCTAAACAGCACTGCACGGGGTTTACCCATGAAGAACACCCAGGTAGCGGGCGCGAAGGACACCCCACAACTTCCGAGGTCGGCATCCTCCAGACGGTGGTCCCCGGAATCCACAGCCACAGGTCTGCTGGGGCAGCCAAGGGCCAGAGACCCCTATTTCACACACACGCATGGACACACACACCCGGGTGCATATTTAACCCCAAGCACATTGATTCCAACTCTGAGCAGTCTGTAAACACCCACTGATTGCCATGCAGCTAACGAGCGGTCCGAAAGGGCAGAGTAGAACTGCCCCTGGGGGTTTCTGGAAGGGTCAGCCTGTGCAGGAGCAGATGCCTGGCACACTTGAACCGGCAGCCTTCCAGGTCACAGAGCTCCACTGCAGCCTTGAATCTACATATGTATACACACATACGGTTATAGAACGGTCCATGATGTACAAATGTGCTTGACACAATGGATGTATGTATGGATTGTGAAATAAGAATTTTATGAGCCCCCAATAAAATGATTTCAAACAAACAAACAAACAAACAAAAAAAAGAATGGTCCATGTACATGCTGCAGACTGAATTATATCCACTCAAAACAGACGTTGCAACCCGTGTTGGTGGGTCCACATGACCCCATCACAGACCTCGTGGTGCTTCGAGACAGATCCTGAAAGGTCCTCGTTGACGGCGCATGCAAAGCAGTCCTCTTCAGTGAGCGTCCCCGGCATAGGAAGCCATGTGGCTTCCTGACTAAAAATGGCCAATACCCGCCCATTGCAGCTCATTAACGCCTCGGATACTGACCTCTGTGTGTTCCATCTCATGGTTAACGACACTGGTTTTCTTAGACTCCCACTCAGTGCATCCCTAGTTCTGATCACTAATTGATGTCTGGTGCTGTTTCTTCTCATTTCCAGTTGCGCCCCATCAGTCGGTGACTGTCCCGAAGGCCCAACCTTCATGATTATGGTGGGCTTGACTTTGAGAAGGCAGCTCCTCCTCAGGCACACCTTGAAAGCCTCCATCCTGAATGCTCCTCACGGGTACAAACTTGCCAGTGTTCCGCTTCTGTTCAATGTCTGGATGGGAGCCCTCGGGTTTTCGGTGGGTGATGCCGCTGAAGTACACAGCCTGCTCCTTCTTCCTCGTCTGGAAGCTCTGCGGAGACCTGTTCACTCGGGTGACCCTGCCGTCATTTCAAATACCAGTGGCATCGCTTCCACAGCCACCAGAGTACAATGAGCTCATGTGACGAAGAAACCGATGATCGTACCAAGGTCTTCAGTCAGGAACAGATCCAACTGCAATCAAGGTGCAGGGTAACGCTGGGCGACTGGATGCAACAGTCGAAAGGGAAAGGAAGAGGCGGTGGGAAAGTTTGATCCCGGTGGACAGAAACAAAGCCGGGATCGAATAACAGAAATGAGCAAGATCAATGGCTTCTTCGTTGCAAACAGCTTTTTTTCGAAAACACAAACAGTGACTCGACACCTGCACTTCTCCGGGTGGAATGCACCGAAATCACACTGACTGTGTCTGCGGGGAGATGCGGGGGAGAAGCTCACTACCAGCAGCTAAAACCAGAGCAGGGCCGACAGAGGAACAGTCTGTCCCTTGCTCACCTGTAGGCTCCTGTTAAAAGGTGACTGAAATGGAAAACAAGTCCACGGGAGTCAAAATGCAACATAGAGTATATCCCTCCCGAGTTCTGAGACCGTCTCAGGCACAGATCTGATGCACTCAGTGTTGAGGAGGCGGAGGAGCTGTGGGAGGACATCAAGAACGTGCTACATCAACAAAGGTCGCCAAAGAGACAGGAGCGGGAGAAAAGGTCAGCGTGGACGTCAGAAGAGACTGTGAAATGAGCTCTTGATGGTGGAAGAAACGATGAGGTCCAGGAGCTGAACAGAAAGTTTCTGAGGGCAGCTCAAAAAGGCCAGGCCGGATACGACCACGGAATATGCAAGGCCTTCGGATTAGAAACCCCTGAGGGAAGAACACACTCAGCTTAGCTGAGACTCAAAGAACTCAAGAAAAAATCCAGTCCTTGAGTTGCCACACTGAAGGGAAGGGTTCTGCAGGCAGAATACAGAGCGCTGCGGGAAGCACCGAGAAGAGATGGGAAGAATACACGGTCACTGGACCAAAGAGAACGAGTCGACATCCCACCATTCCAAGAGGCACCGTGGGAGCACAAACCAAAGGCACTGAGGGAAGACGTCCAAGCTCTGCTGAACGCACTAGCCAGAAGCAAGGCCCCAGGAATTCATGGCGTACCAACTGAGACGTCTCAAGCAGCCGGTGAAGAGTCCCTGTAACGCTCACTCGCCTGAGCCAGGAAATGTGGAAGACAGACACTTGGCCAACTGACCGGAGGAGATCCAGATTTGTTCGCATTCTAAAGAAAGGCGACTCCCAGAATGCTCGAACTACGGAGCAGGATCACTGACATCACACATCACTGAAGATCATCCAGCAGGGGTAGCAAGGCTGACAGCAAGCTGCCAGGGGTTCAGGCCAGACTCAGAAGAGGACGTGAGGCAGGAATATCCTTCCTGATGTCGGACAGGTCTTGGCTGACAGCAGAGAAATCCAGAAAGATGCTTATTTGTGTCTCGCTGACTGTGCGAAGGCCTTCGACTGTGTGGACCGCAGCACTGTGGACACCCTTGAGAAGAGTGGGGACTCCACCGAACGTTTCAGTGGCCTCATGCACAGCCTGCGCCCGAGGCAAGAGGCAGCTGTGCAAAAACAGTAAGGGACTAGCGCATGCTTAAAGCCACGACAGGTGTGTGTCAGGGTGTATCCTTTCACCACATATATCCGATAAGGGATCTAGGAGTGCATGAAAGGAACCAGCTGCGACATGCAGACGACACAACCTTGCTCGCTGGAAGAGGGAGAGTTGAGACGCCTGCTGAGAAGATCAAGGCTGGGAGACCTCAATCGAGGCACTGCGTGGGTAAATCTGCTGCCAAAGACTTCTTGAAGACGCTGAAGTGCAGGGAGGTGACTCTGAGGACTAAGGGACACATGACCCAGGCCAGGGTACTTTCAACGGCCTCACATGCATGTGGAGGTTGGACCCTGCATAAGGAAGGTCAAAGGAAAATGGGTGCAGTTGAACTACGGGGCTGGTGAAGACCATCCCAAGTACAGACTGCCAAAAGACCAGGCAGAACTGTCGCGGACGTTCGGCCAGAGTGCTCCTGCGAGGCCCGACGGCGAGCGACAAAGAAGAAAGCCTTTGGTGGGAGGGCTGGACACAGCGGTCACCACAATGGGTTCCAAGGCAAGAACAATGGGGAGGGAGGGTGGCACAGTCCTTCTGCAGGACGCAGGGTTACTGTGAGTCTGGACAGACCCAATGGCCCCGAGCAACAGTAGCAAAAGCAAGGAGCCCTGGTGGTGCCGGCGGGTAAGCACTCCAGTGCAAATCCAAAAGTCGGTAGTTTGAGCCCACTAGCTGCTCCGTGGAGGCAGACTGGAAGCACCATGGGGCAGCTCTACTCGGTCCTATCAGGTCACCGTGATCTTGAATTTGACCCGAAGCCAGTGGGACGGAAGTAAAAGGCTGGAAACCCTTGGTAAGACTTTTGGTAGAATGATGGACATCACAGGGAATTCTGGTGAGGACTTGGGGGAAGAAAGGAGAGCCCCGAGGCTCCATCGTCTCCAAGGAATGGGCATGGTGCCACCAGCAGGGCCTTTCTAGACATGTGGACACGGAACGTGCTTCCAGTAAACCTTCAGAAGAAATGATGAACCTGTGGTTGGATAATGGAGGCAGGGCCAGGCTTTTTATGCCATGGCAACAGACTTGTCTGAAGTACGTTGAAACGTTTGGCAGAAGGTAGAACTTGTAAGTGATGAGCTTGGGATTTTGAGATTTCTACACAAAACCTTTACAAGGGTGGCGTGGTTTCTCCCTGTTGCCTGTGGTGACACGCAAGAGGAGAGGCAGGCTAACTAGGCTTTGAGGGGTGGCCGCAGCCTCCCAGGTCTCCAAGAGTCGGATCTCCACCAATCCCGGTCCAGAGTGTGGGCTGCCCATCAGCTGTAGATAGCCATGCCCAAAGTGCAGGAACACAGGGCCTACTGGAGTTGAGGGTATAAGGTCCAGCCTCCGATGGACTAAGAGAAGGGGCCACCCAAAGCTGAAGGGCAATGGACTTGGTAGATGAGCCTCAGCCCAGAATGTAAAGCGCACGGCCAAAGCCCCAAAACTGGAGGGCAGGCCCACTGCGCAGATTTCCCCTTGCAAACCTCCCAAAGCTTCCACTCGGTGTTTTAGCAAAGGGCTATTGCAAGTGAGGCAGACGGTGGCGCAGCCAGCCCTCCGCAGGCGCACCGCCACTCCACACGCGTGCCCACACACACGCACGGTGTGAGGAAGCAAGACTGATAAGTGAACAATGTGACGTTTCGGGGAGATACACTCACAGCCAAAGGATCAATAGGAGAATTCCTAAGAGTTACAAGAATGAAATATATTTTCCATTGATTTGTTGTTTTCAACCATTAAAAAGATGGGTAAGCGTGTTCAAGGCGGGTAACTACTCGGGGCACTAAAAACACACTGTTTTCACGTTGTCGTAGAAAATCAATGTCCCTGACGTACTTGCAGAGTGGATATCCAAAAGCACACGCATCTCCCCAGCCTGAGCACGGGCCTTCTTGGGAAGAGGATGGTGGCAGGCAAAAGCAAGAGGCCACGCGTCCCCGCTGGTGCTCAGGGCGGCAGTTTTGTGTCCTGTCTGGGGTGAAAGCGTCCTCCCAGAGAGGGGATCTTCGAAATGCCCAGAGCCCGTTCCCGTTTGCATCACCCTGAGAGGCACCACCAGCCGGCCGGCCGGAGTGCAGCTGCAGACCTTACCTGAGGCCAATCGATGGCAGGAAACGGAGGGGGTGGGGAGGGGGCAGCCTGCAAAGTTGGGCGGCTGCGCTGTCGTTATTGATTTTACCTAGTTCAGCTGGGCTTGTAATTAAAATGTAAATGTGAGAGAGAGATTATGTCCTGACAGAAATGGGGGGATTAAGGGGAACATAAAAGCCCCTTGGTACAAATTCAGAGTGGAATGAGAAAGAGAGAGCGTGTGGTATCCCTGGGCTTGGTGAACTCAGAGCAAAAGCCACCCACTTCAGATTTGCCGGCGTTAATTGAAAAAACCACCGTGGAATATAAACCAGTGTGGGGCACGGGGCTCCCCGGCAGTCCAGCCGATGGCAGCTCGGTCCAGGCCGGCAGCCCAGGCGCCAGGTCTCTGGGCTCGCCAGGCTCCAGAGAGGAGGTTGGAAGGGCCAGGCAATGCACTCGCACACCATCATCTTGGGGCAAGGGGCCTGTACCAGGGCACCCTCTGCAGCCAGTGCCCTCTCCCAGGGCTCCCCGCGTCCCCCTGTGAGGTCCCAGAGGGCCTTGGCTTCATGCTGGCAGGAAACCAGGTGGCAGGGCTGAGAAGCAGACCACACCCTGAGCCCAGGACCCCCCAGGCCTGACCCAGCTCAGGCCCTGCCTGGAGAAGGCCTTCTTCCCCTTGGCTGCCACCCCCACCCCCACCCCATTAACAAGTGTCTGGTCTGCCCTGCCCCCTGCAAAGACTGCGATGCCACCCACCCACCACCCCCACACTGTCACGGGCACTGGAGATATAGCCCGCCACATGTAGCACCACACGGTGGTGTGCAATCAGGACGCAGTGTGACAAGGACCCTGCCGGGGACACAGAGAAGGGGTGTGCCGGTACCTGCTGCTATGGGGCACACCCGCCCCCAGGGGAGCCCGCAGCCACTGGCTCATGCCATAGTGTCTGGGCCAGGAAGGGCGCAGCAGGGACACGTGGCCCCCGCCCAGGTGAGTGGCAGCTGCACGCCCGAGGCCTGGGGAAGACAGAGGGCAACCTGGAGGAGGTGACTGCACCCGGACAAGAGCAGAGAGACCTACGCAGGGGCCAGCTGGGTCAGCCTGGGGCCAGGGCGGACACGTGAGGGCTGTGTGTGTGCTTGCGAGTGCCCTGCCACCAGTTTCCCTCGAACTTTCTGGAGGGCAGGGGCCAGGCTGGAGCTTGCCTGCAGTCCTTGTCTGAAACAGGGCCCGGGGAATGGCAGGCAGCCAGGAGGGTTCCTCTGGCAGAGTCTGGCCAGAGACCACTTTCCTGGCTCCAGAGGACACGCTGACCCCAGACACTTGGCCTGCTGGGCCCCAGGACATTCCTCCACCAGGGGACTGGCTGAGTGGCCCCCGACCCGCAGACAGCAGGTGCAGGAGTAAACAGGGGCTGTACAAATGGAAGGTCGTTAAAAGTCTGGTCGTGTTAATTTGGCATGACACCCCTAATGGGTTATATCTTCACACTTGAGTTGCCTAATCATCTAAATTCTTTTAACAAATTTACATTTCATCTTACAGACGCCGATTCAGATCGACTTGTCTAATTCACCAGGAAAGCCACGGGCTTGTTTGTGTTTGTGTCCTCTGGCCACCATGTCCCAGCACCCCCCTCCCCTCCTGTGGGTCCAGCCACGACCTCCCCACCAGGTGCCCCTCATGGGACTTGGGAGATCACTTTACTGAAGAGGTATGGTACCCAGTTCTGTGGGTGGCCCGGTTCTGGGCGTGAATCTGTGACCATACCCCCCAGAGGAGGGGACGAGGGAAGGGCTGTGGAGAGGGTAGAGGCAGGGAAAGCTGCCTCTCCACACAGCCCAGCTCTCTTCAGCTGGCAAGACTCCCCACCCCTACCCCTCAGGCCTGCCAACACCGCTCCGCACACTGCCCTGCCGGTCAGCAGACACTGTACAGGCCCTGGGGTGGTTTCAGGCTTGGCCTCCTCCAGGGAAGCTCATGGCTGGCAGGTGCCGAGCTGGCATCCCCAAGGGGCAAGCCTGTGTGCTGGGTGGGGGTCCTCCAGGCAGATCTTCAACTCCACACAGGGCAGCTGAGGGGGGTGGCCAGGATCCAGGCCACCTGGTCAGCAGAGGCCCACCCCATATAGGGCCCCCAGTGGATGGACCCCAGGGAGAAAGGGGCAGAGCAGGCCATTCTGTGTGTCTGCAGAACCAGCCAAACCTCCATCTTGGCACCTGGTGGGCAGGTTGCCCGCCCAAGACCCCTGGGCAAGAGCAGGGCCAGGCTGGCCAACATGACCCCAGGCCGACTGGTCATGGGCACCAGCAAAGCAGACCTCCAGTGCCCCTCCCATGCTCACTCGGCTGCTGTTCCCCCTGCGCCCACTGCTGTCCCCGCCCCCTGCCCAGAACCCCCACAGCCCCAACACCTCCCAGGACACCCGCTCCCTAGGGTTACACCCCTCAGCAGGTACTTGCCACCCCACCAAGGCACACCCTCCCTCTGGCTGCGGCCCTGCCCTCCCACCCTCTCCCACAGAGCCCCCTCCCGCACACTCACCATATTCCGCCCGCAGGTGCTCAGGGACATGGGGCTCGTAGCCTTCCTTCTCCGGAACCTCCACAAACTCGTCCTCATCCTCGTCCTCGCTGCCCCCGGCCCTGCAGGATCTCCTCTGGGGAAACACGGCACAGGCCCGTGACACCCCGCCCCGAGGACTCTTCCTGGGGGCGCCTCTCCTCCATGTGGGATTTAAGGTGCTGTAAGGAGCACTGGTGATGCCGTCGGGTAAGTGCTAGACTGCTGGCCACAGGGTGGTGGCTCAAACCCACTAGCTGCTGGGGGAGCAGGGTGGGGGGGCGGTGTCCAGGTGAGAAGAGAACCCTCCAGCTCTCATCACGGTGACAGCGTCCCAAACACACCAGCCAGGGTGGCTGTGAGCCAGCCTGGCCCTGGGATGCCGGGCTTGGTTTGTGAGTTTTCCGTGGTGGGCTGATGTTTTCAAGGGGTCGGCCCGAGTTCTGCACAGCCACAGAGCCACCCCACGTGCATGCCCTCAACCCCAGGCCCACACGGGCTCTCTCCTGGCAGAATGCCAGCCTGGCTCCTGGTGCTCCGGGAAGTTCATGCTTCCCGGTGAAGTGCCCACAACGGGAGGGGTTTACCCCAGTCAGGGGACCTAGTCCTGGGCTAGCCCCGACGGGGTGGGCGCAACAGCCCCCTCAGGCTGCCCCAGCTGGGCGCAGTGGGGCTGTGGCCCTGACCTCCTGACTTATCTAAGAAGGGAGTGGCTGTGTGGCTCCACAGAGGCTGCCCGCCTTGAAGTCAGCCAGCCCCAGCCCGAGCCCCAGAGACCTCCAGCTGTGTGGCCAACAGCCTCACTAACCACATTCCCGCACCCCCTGGTGCCCTGGCTTCTGCTGGCAGTGATGGAAACCAGGGCAGCAGGGAGATGCAGTGGCAGCTGGCTCAGCTGGACTGGGAGGGCCAGTTGGGGGCTGGTAGCACATGCTACCACCACGGCTCCTGCCCACAGGGCATATCCAGGGCTGTGCAGGCCGCTGAAGTAGTCTCGGCACAGGGTGGGGCTTTGCCTCGTTCCCCGCCCACCCCCTGCTGTAGATGTGAGTCTCTCAGAATCGGAAGGGCTGTGCCCACCCTGCACTGGGCATTTTCCTGGCAGCGCATGGCATCCTGCTCCGCCTTCCACCATGCCAGGCCTCCCTTCACAGACTACCATCAGCCAGGCCTCACTGTCACCATGGTGACAGCACCAGTACGGGCCGACCCACGGTTCTGAGAGAAAAGTGCTAATAAACACCAGACAGGGCTGGCTGGGCCTTTATTTATAAAGATCAGTGCGTCTCAGCCGGGGGAGCCCCCGAGGCAAGGGCAGACGTTTCCTGCAGGCTCCTCAGTGGGTCTGTCTGCTCTCGGGAACCTGACCAGTTCAAGACGAGCGCCAGGTCAGTTCCGTTTTCCATCTGCGGACGTGGCCCCAGCTGCCTGCCAGGCCCAGCAGAGCCTCGTGCGAGGCAGCCTCCGGGGGCCCGGAAGCCACATCTGGACGTACCTGCTGCATCCGGCCCACCGTAGCAAAGAGCCCCTGCCCCAGAGGCATAATCAGATGCAAATGGGCTTTGTGTGGGCATGGCCCACAGGCCCTGCGCCCAGAGCCACCGGAGACATTAATCACGAGCTCCGTAATTTTTGTTATCAGTCTAACACTGATCAAAACAGAAGCCTGTCTCCACCGCTGACCTGTGAAACGTCCCAATTATGCTCTTTGGAAATGACAGGGGCACTTAACTCCCGCGCCGAGCAAATGACGACGATCAATCACGTTTGAATAACAATGAGCCGCGGACCTGAAAATTATTTTTGTATAGAATCGACCCAGGAATTTATGAAAGGTGCCGCGCCGCCAAGGTTTTCGGGCATTATGGCGGGCACGCGTGCCGCACGGATCAAACACTAAACAGAATTTATGTGTTTTAATTTTCTAAAAGGTAGATGTGGGCTTGGTGCTACAATGCATAACATATAACGCCAGCTTTTAAATATGGGGGTCATTTTCATAAAGTATGGTGCTCGGTGCTCACACCCTTGAATCTCACAGGCGCTGGGGCCCATTTGCCTCTTCTCCCACAGACCTCGCTGCTTGACTGGGGACAGGCGGCTGGCCGGCCTCCCCCCGGCTGGACTGCGCCATTCCTTCGCACCGGGCTCCTTTGTTCCTGGCGAGGCCAGCTCGCCTGCGGTCCCAAGAACAGCCTAGGAAGGTGGTGCATTGTCTTGGAAAGGCCGCTGCTGGGAGGGAGGCCAGGCCACCACAGGCTCGAGGACTGCTTTCCTGAGGGCCTGGCCTCCCGGCACCACCTCCAGGCAGTTAAGTTTCCCAAGCCCTTTCCCAGGGCAGCTCAGGCTCCTGGGGACCTTGAGCCCGGGCCCTCAGACCTGGACTCCGGATGTGCAGGGTCTACTGAGGCTAAGGTTCGGAAGGCAAGCCCCCATTCTCCAGTGTGCATCCACAGAGGTGGGGACACAAGCTTGGCTGGCACAGGAGCCCCTGCGGTAAGGTCCTCATTGGACCCAAATTGGCTCTCAGCTGCACTATGAGCCAGGGGCACTCTGGCCCCGCCAGCTGGTACCCCTAAGGCCTGCTTCAGGGGAAGACAGTGTGGTCTCCCTCCTGGGACCACGTTTCTCCTGAGCTCCCTCAGAAAGTGGCCCCCCACAGAGGGAGAGGCCTGCAGCTACTGGGAAAAGCCAAACAGCCAAATGGTTCACTCGGCAGGCAGGTGCTGTGACCACCTTCCACTTCAGGTCAAAGGCCACCCGGGGATACACGGGCCAGAGGCCAACAGCATCCCTCCACTGGAAGTGACCCTCTGAGAACACCAGGCAGGGGCACTGAGGGGAAGTCCCCCAGGGTCAGTGTCACTGCTGACCGACAGACACTGATGGTTTCTGCCCGGCTCACTGCTCAACGGTCTGGTCACACTTCCTCCATAAAGGTCCCACCCCACCCGTGGTGAGTTTCCTGAGACCCCACCCACCTACCCATCTGCACCCACAACATGGTTGAAAAAAAACCCAGCCCTGTCCCTGGTCTGCAGAGCAGGGGTGGGTGCCAGGCCACCACCTTGTTCCGGGTCCAGCACTTTCCCAGAAGGATGGGAGACCTGTGGGGGGAGGGGGGACAGCAGCTCTGCCAGCCAATGCCAGGCTGGCCACCCTCGGGCCAGCTCGCGCCTGAACCCAGAGCGCATGGCCACAGTCAAGGACCTCCGCCTCTTGGGCAGGCGCGCCCTGGGCTCCCCACTGCTTCCCAACAAATTGATTCTCACCCACAGTTAAAAGGGTTTAGAAAAATGAGCCACTAAGATCATAATTAAACAAGCGATAAAATGGCTAAAATATACAACGCAATCAGTTTACGGAGGGGATGCGGGGAGGGTGCTAATTACGGGAGCAGGAAGGGGAAGAGGAAGAAGCGGCTGCCGAGCCGGCCGCCCCTCGCGGGCAGAGGCACGGCCTAGGGACTGACTGCAGCTGGGCTGTTAAATAAATTCTGTACGATCTAATTAACTCAGCGCGCAATCTCAATTACTTTTCACCCCAGAAATCACTTTTGTTCAGTTTTATGTGTGTCTGTTTCCCTTTAAAAAAAAAAAGAAAAAAAGAAAGAAATGATGTAAGGCGTCCTCAGACAAGTGAACTCTAAACTTCATTTGTCTTTCCGCAGACTTGATGGCTATGCATTTAAAAACCCATTCTATCTTATAAACTAAAAATTAAATGTACTCAGCTGTGATGGTCGTCATTGCATCTGCTATTTATATGCTAATGCCCTCCTGGCAGGACCGTGTGGATTACCCCACCAGGCCAATATCTCATGCGCATCTAAGGCCACTGCCAGGGACCACCTTCAGAGGACAGAGGTGGGGCTGCCCAGCATCCCGGAGCATCTGACCCCGGCTGGCGGCCTGCCATTCAGGGCAGCCCCTTTGGCCAAAAGAGAGCCAGTATTGGTGTGCACAGGGCTCTGTAGAACGCCTCTTGACGGCCAAACTGAACATCTCTGGGAATCATTCTAGCGTGAGGGAATCTAACTTCTCACTCGCCGCCATTGAGTCGGCACAGAGACCTTCTAGGACAGGGTAGAACGACCCCTGTGGGAACTGAGAGCCTCAGCTTTGTCCCTTGGAGCGGCTGGTGGGTTTGAACGGCTGACCTTGCAGTTGGAAGCTCAGTGCGTAGCCCAGACTCTAAGTTGGAGTGCCTTGGTACAGAGATTTTTACAGCTGTACTGGAAACAGAGATGACCTGCTTCCTCCTGGTCCAGCCTCAATTTGAGGGGCCAGCGTCCACTGTGGGGCTCTGGGATGACTGGCCATTGCTGGGGCCCAGCCAAGCGCCACATGCAGAGGGAACAGGGACGTCCAGGGCTGTGCCTGCCTGCAGGGAGGTCGTAAGAGGAGGTCAGACGAGTCGGGGGTGTCCAGGGGCCGGGGCTCAAGTGTCCACAGTGGGAAGCCCATACATACCAGGGCGGCCTGGACTCATCCTGCCACCTGCTGTACTAACCTTCCTGAGGTGGGGGATGCAGCTGGTTCTGCTGGCTGAGGGAGGGGCGGTGTGAGCGCACCTGAGAACCAGCAAAGCCATCTGAACATCGTGCACAACTGACCTGGCGGCACAGGGCGCAATCCGCCCTTCATCTGGGTGCCCTGCCACCTCCAACTCTCTGCCCTCCTGTGAGCTCCAGGGAGCACGGGCCAGGGAAGACAAACACACAAACACACACACACACACACACACACACACACACACACACACACACACACACACACACACACACACTCACTCTCTCTCTCTCACTCTGCAGCCAGCCATGTTTTGGAAAAGGGCCACCAGCTCCTGTCCCTTTGCCAGCTTGGCCTCTGTAAAGCCACGGTCTGAAGAGGCGCGCAGGCAGGGGAGGGACTCCACTGTGTCCCCAGGGCAGCCCCTATGTTTGGTGGCACACTCAGGGGATGGCGAGACTCCTGGTCAAGGCGGCCCAGGCTTGGGGAACCTGCTCAGACTCCGTCTTGAGGTCTGCACAATGCGGCGGTGAATGGAGTGGTCCTCCTCTCAGGAATGGAGGGAGGGACGAGGGCCCTGCAGACATGATCAGGGAGCCGCTGGGAAGGGGCACACATGCCGGGCACCAGGAGGGACCAAGAAGGGGGTCAGAGGGGGTGGGCAAGCCCCAGCCTGGCTCTCTGCCTGGCTCTCTGCCTGGTTGTTTACGGGCCTGATGGCAGCAGCAGTGCACAAGGCTCCCTGACATTGCTGCTTGCTCCTCCTGGAGGGTGCAGCCAGCAGCATGGGGCGTACCACCGCACTGGAAAGCAGCGGCGACCCACCCGGGTTTTTCGACACAGAGGACGTGTGTGTTGGGGGTGTTACGCGGGTCTGAAAGGCAGGCCGGCAGTCATCGCGCAGAAAGAACCAGGGACAACTCCAGTGGACTGGGGTCTGAGTGCAGATGTGACTGTGGGCACGTGGTTCTCGCTTCCACCCCCCCACCCCACCCACCCCCACTGCATCCCCAGGGCTGTCTCAGCCTCGGACACAAATAACTTCATTTAAATCGCTGCCGCTGCAGCCACGGAGGGTGCTGCCGAGGACGGCTGCCGGCGCTTGTTTGGTTTTATCCCAGTGTGCTGGTGGGTGGGAAAAGACACAGCTTGTTAATTACAGGATACGAACGAATCAGGACCTGCGCTCCATAATTAAACAGCAGGCAGCTTAGAAGTTTGTGGAGGATTTTTATCAGTGTAACGGATGTCACGGGCCGGGTTATTACCCCGAGCCCGGCTGGAGCGGGCACGCGACTAAATCTACCCAACGATCCTCCGTATTGATCGGCCGAGGATTTATCCCCGGCCGCCTTCCAGACGGAACCGCGACAGACACACTCTATAAAGCCAGCAGTAACACGTCTTTACACAGCCGGGAGTATTTTTTAAAGACGGAGCAGCTATGTCACCAGGCAAAGTGCCTCATGGGGGAAGTTCAGGCGGCAGGCCGAGGCCGGAGGTCTTAGAGGTGACCAAGAAGCCCTGCCCCCAGGCCCAGTGCCTCTGAGTCCCCGGGCTCCCTCCCTCCATGCAAGCTGGCGGTGTCCTCTCCACTTCGGTCCGCAGCCGTTTGTGCAAAGTTCGGAGGCACTGCAACGGCGCGTGACTGCATTAGTGCCGGCTCGGCCTGTTCTACACGCAGAGTTAACGACGCCGGCCGAGCGCACAGCACGGCAGCCCGAGGGTGAGACCCGCCGTAAATTTTATTCGAAAATGAGTGAAGCCCAGCTCGTTCATAATTTCTAATTAAGGGGCTCTAATGAACGCCGTGCCTGGGGAGGGGTTAGGCGCCCCCCCACCCCCACCCCGGGCAGTGTGACAAGAGGCTGCCGTGAGCATGCACTCGGTCCCTGCAGCCTGCCGACTGCCAGGAGCCGAGATGCGCAGATAGGGGCCGCCGAATCTATTCTGGGAAGCGGCTCACCTGAGGCTGGGTGCTGCCACTCACGCCAATCATGGCATCTGCAGGCAGCTCAGAGTGGCCTGGTGCGGAATGAGCCAAATCCCGCGGGCTTCAGAGCCAGAGGCTTTTTTTTTAACATCAGTCGGTGGAGAAAGGTCTAGAAAGTGTCCCTTCAACTGATAAAGGACCATCTTTCCCTTCCCCTGAAGCCGGCGACACCTTGCAATCACACTCACTCTCCCTGACAGGCTGACCGATGTGGGTCCAGGGGCGGGTGGGTTGTGGGGTGGGGGGGAGTCTGCTGGCTTGGACAGTCGCTGCCCGCCACCCGCTGGGTACTGCCCTGGCCTGTGTAGGAGACCATGGACACAGGGTCAGGTCTCGCCCAGAGGTCCCAGAACTGTCCGAGGAGGGGGACATGAGGGAGGAAAGGCAAGGGAGGAGGCAGGAAGGAGAGTAGCTGGCCTGGGGACCCACTGGCCAGCGGGGGTCCCTCAGGATGCTGTGTGACAGGTAGGGCAGCAGCAGCCAGCCTGCCAAGATGTAGCCTCAAGGGTACCCAAGGCTCCAGAGCCCCCTGCTGGGCCTGCCCCTGCAGCCCTTGGTTGCGGCCCTGCCACCCCCCCAGGAATGACGGAGCCTTCACCACCACCAGTTCCTGCTGAAGATGGGGCCCTGAGGCCAGGCTGCACGCTCATGGGCCATGGTCTGCCAAGAACCACATCTGCAGCCACAGACACAGCTGGGGGTTCCCAGAGATGCTGTCTGAGTGCGGTGCGGGGCCACTCGTGTTCCCATCCCCACCCCCCACCCTCCCACCCCACCTGTGCCAGACTGCACTGCACCAGTGCAGGAAGGGGCACCCCAGCCCTAGAGGGCCCTTTCCGGGCAGGGCAGCAGTGGCCTCGTCAGTAAGGAGACCTGCTCATGCCCAGTGGCCAGCTGGCCATCCCCGGAGAAGGCTGTGGAGCTGAGAGCAGGGTCAGACCGTCTGGAAGTCCCACTGGCAGAGACAGGCCAGAGAGAGTGGCCGGAGTGTCCTGGGGGCCCTCCGCCCCTCGCAGGGAGACAGCCATGCCACCAGACAGTTGGCCTTCTGCAGCCACGCACAACACTCACAGCACCGTGGACACGGCTCACGGTCCACCGGCATGCTGCCCCTAGAGACCACTGCCCGTCAGCCAGTCACAGTGGATGGCCAGGGAAAGGTGCAAGATTCACAGACGGCTTGACCAAGCCCCTTCACTGAGCAGGGATGGAGGAGGAGGAGCAGGGCGCATCCCCGTCCCTCTGCTTAGGGTGACAGTTGAGGGCGGCAACCACCTTTCTCCTCACGCTAAGCTTCACCCTGAGGTTGCTCCTACACGGTGTGGAGCATCCCTCCCCACTGCCAGGCAGGAGCAGTTCCTGTGCACCCCACAGAGGGACACCCGTCTGCCATCTGTGAAAGATGTGCTTGCGTCAGAAGCCACCAGGCCAGCGGCCCTCAGCAAAGCTGCCTGCTGAAAGGAGCTGCACGCTGTCCTGCTGGACGCTGCCCAGCCTGAGTTCTGAGGCCAAGCCAGTTGGCTGCCAAGCCAAAGACAGGCAAGACTGCCCTCTGCTGGTCCCCAGGGGCGCTGCAGCACCCAGGAATAGCCACAGGCAGCTCCCCCACTGGGTGAGGAGCATGGAGCCACTGTGGCGGAGGCAGCTGGAGCCTGTCCTGTCTTGGGCCTGCAGCATGTGAGGGCCACTACCCAAGGGCGGCGGTGGCTCTGTCAGCCAGGCCACCTTGCTCCTTGGGAGGTGTCAGCCCAGCCCTGGAAACTTCAAGTGGTTGCACGTGACCTCACTCTTAGCAGGAAACACACCTTTCTCCTGACACTATGGCTCTCCTTCAAAGATGTACCCAGGCAGGGAGCTCCCCAGGACTCTCGCCCCTCTGGGCCAGGCTTCCTCTCCTTGGCTCCACCTCCCGATGCAGCCACACCTGGCCCGCCTCTCAGTCCCCACCTTAGCCTGCAGTTCACTCTCTGGGTCCACCTTCCAGGACCGGAGTGGGGTCAGAGACCAGTGACCTGTACTGAGCATGCCAGCACCACTAGCCCTGCTGGGGTGGATGGCTCCTGGGCCACCCTGTGGGGGGCACGTAAGAAGAGCACATCCTGGAGTGAGCATTCACTCTCTGCCCGACAGTCCCTTCCAGCTCACCTGTCTGCAGGCACTGGAGTGACCCACGGCTATGGATGACCCCATCCAGGTATGCACAGGACCCTGAGAGGGGTCAGCTTCACCCTCCCGTCTTGAGGGCCCCGAGATCAGCCTGGGGGGGGGGGGCCCGAGTCTAATCAGGCAGCTCCCACCCCACCGTGTCCCAACCACTGTTTCTCCTCCACATCCTGTCAGGACCCCTCCTGAGCCTGCAGGCTCCAGACACCCCAGTAGCCGGCCTGGCCCTCACACAACATCCACCGCTAGGTAGACAGAGCCCTGGGACACCTGAGGCTGGCACTGCCCTGGCAGCAAGCCGGGGTGGAGGGTGAGGTCCGGCCTGGCTCTCGGAGGCCCCTCAAGGGTTCTCAGACACTCAGGTCCTGCGAGTGACACCACGCCCCACCCCCCTGGGTAGCCCCCCCGCTCAGGAAACCTGTGAGGGGTTTCGGGCAGTGCCCAGGCGCCCGGCTCGCCCTCCCCGTCCCTGAACAAGACCCTTTCAGGGCTCGGCCATTGTTCCAGCTCTGCCTGTGACAGCGCTCTGGCCACGCTGCGCACTCACCTGCGGCTGGATGTGCAGCTCCTTGGACTTGCGCACGGCTGCCTCCAGCTCCGTCTTCAGGTCGATGGCGCGCCTCAGCCGCTGGTCGTGAACCCCTGCGCGGGTGAAGAGCTGCAAAGGGAGGGGCTGGATGGGTGATGGCCGCCCCCCCCCCATGGCAAGCAGCAGGGATGGGGTCTATGGCAGCGCCCCCCACTCCTGAGCCCGGGACTGGCCCTTACCTGCACCCAGGAGCTCGCGGCCGGCAGGAACTTGCTCTGGACGAGCTTGAGCACATCGCGGGCGCTCTGGACCACGGCGCTGTTGTCCTCATCCTCCTGCACCAGCAGCGGGTCTACAGCCAGTCGGGGAGGTGGGGTGTCACGGGGGAGGTCAGGCTACTTCTCCTGGGGGCAGGGCCAGAGAGCAGGCCCGCTCCAGGCTCACAGGTGGGAACCTGTGTGTACACCCCTAGCCTGACTGCTCCCAGAGCCCCAGCTGGGGCCAGGAGGGGTGACTGCATCTCCTATGGACCTGGGTCAAGGCCTTTACAGCACAGCAGCAAAGCCAGAAACCAAGCAGCCAGAAGGAAAGGGAAAGGCGAGAAACTCTAACGGGGTGGAGAAGCCAAGCCTGGCCCGGCAAACACATGGCGAGGCAGCGTCAGTGCGTGTCCAACCACGGAGGCAGACGGAGGAGGTCACGGCGGGGCGGGCTGGGCCAGTGGCCCAGAGTGGACAGGTAGACACCATGCACCCCTGCCCCGCAACTGCGATTGCCCCAGCCCACACCTGGCCTTTTGTGTGTCTCCAGAACACTACCCTCTCCCCTCCCCACCACGCCCACTCAGGAGCGGAGAGCAAGCTCCCATACTGGGCCTGAGACTCAGCAGACTTGCTGCCCAGCAGTCCAGGTCCCAACCAACAGCTCTCGCCCTGCAGCCTGGGAAACTGAGTGCCCACAGACACAAAGCAGCATCGCCACCTGAGAAGCCACCCAAACCCAGCCTGCCCCCTCATGTCCCACGAAGCCACCCCACACTGGCCCACAGAGGCTCCTGTCCCCTGCCCTGAGGCAGGGAGATCAGCCCACAGTGGGCTCTGAGGCTCTGATTCCTCCCAGACCGGAGCAGCTGGCCCTACACCACCCCCATACACACCCTCACTCTGATGTTGACATGGCCCCAGGGCACCCCATCACTGCTGTGCACTACAGGGGGGGTCTCTCAAGGAGGCATCCAATACCAGTGGTCACTCCAGGAAAGCTCTGGGGGTCTCCCTAGCCCCAGAACACCCTGGGCACGCAGGGGGCCAGCAGTCGGGGTGGTGCCTGGTACCTGGACGGAGCTCCAGGGCCAGCGTGTACTTGTGGGAGCCAAGCCCATGGCTCCGCACGAACGCCTCCTCTTCTGACAGGTCCCCTGAGGTGGCCTCTGGCGAGCACCCATCTCCACTGAGGGCAGGCAGGTCCTTGCTGCAGCAGGGCTGCTCCTCGTCTGGGGAGCCAAAGCTCGAGGAGGGAGTGGCTTCCCCCCCAGGTATGCTCGGGGCAAAGTCAAAGGGCACCAATAGATGGAAACAGCTCTCTACCTCCGTCAGGCAGGACTGGATCTCTGAAGACATCTCTGCCCAAAGATAAAAGACACCCACTGAGAACAGGTACACAGCCCCCTTACCTGTAGACGCCACCCGGGCTTCTCCCAGGAGCTCAGCAACCAAGAGGGAGCTGGAGGCCTTGAAGAGTCTCTCCCCCCTACCCCCCGACAATAAAGGCAGCAACCCAGGCGCAGGGAGCAAGGTGGCCAAGTGACTCTCTGCTCCTGCAGCTCCCAGCCCAGCTGCCCAGCCAGCCAGTAATGAGACTTTGGCCCTGAACCTGCACTGTGGACCCTGGGGGAGTGCACTGAGAGCAGTGGTCAGCCGGGGGCTACTAGGAGGCCCAAGTACCTAGAGCCCTGAAGCCTGGCTACTCTGGTGGGCACCAGGCCTCCCGGAAGTGGCCCGAGGACGACGGGTTTGCAGGAGACTCCTGGCCCCTGTGGTCAGGCACCTGGTGGCACCGGAGCAGCCCCGCCCATCTCAGAGAACTGCTCAGGTACTGGGGGCCCTCCTCTTGACTAGCCCTCCCTGTAGAGGTGAGCTCAGGCAGGCCAGGAAACAGGGCGTTGGGACCCAGGGGGTCCTTGGCCTGCACAGGGGGTTCCCGCCCTGTCTTCTCCTTCCTCCTCTCCTCTCCCTCCCTCCTGTCCCCCTTTCTCCTCCCTCCCCACCTGCTCCTCAGCACCTCTGCCCAGGGGTCCTTGCAAACCTGCTCAGACCAAACCAGCAGAACCACCAGGGGGCGCAGGAGAGGCGTGGATGGCTTGTACAGCACCCAGGCTCCCCCATAGGCTGGGGGGTGGGGGTGGGTTCTCAGGCTGTGCCACCAGACAACCTGAGCTGTCTCCCCAGCCTGGCCCCTACCTGCCGTCTTCCCCACCTGGGGCAGCGGGGCTGCCTGTGTGCGTGTCATGAGGGCCTTGCCTTCCATCTCCCTCTCGGCCTGCTGGGCCCGCTCCTTGTAGACGGCGTCCAGGCGCCTCTGCTTCTCCTCCTCGCGCTTCCTCTCTGCCAGGGTCCGAGCGTGGACATCCTGAAAGTCCACCTGAGGGCGGGGGCGGGAGCGTTAGACACCCCCGCCCCCCTTACAAAGAGCACACCCAATTAAGCTAAAGCTCATGAAAATGGCACTTGCAGATCTACCAACACAACCCGTGGTCAGGAGCCACGCGGCCTGGCTGTTCCCATCGGGGTGGAGAGTTAAACCAGCTTGCTCGCCCTGGGAAGGGCAGGGGCATGTGACACACAGGAGAGCTCCGGTGCCTTCTGGAGCTGGCTGTGGGGCCACAGGGACCACTGAGCCCAGGGCAGCCGCCGCACTGGCTGCAGACAAGGCTGTAGAACAGAGAGGCCACAGCAAGCCCTCCAGGATCCAGGGTAGGTCCAAAGCCACCCTGAACCAGGAGGGGCTTAAACCCCTCCCTCCTGGCTTTTCTGCAAGTCCCCAGCCTTTCTACAGATTCTCCTGACTAGCCCTCCCTATAGAGGTGGGGCTCAGGCAAGCCAGGAAACGGGGTGTTGGGACTCAGGGGATCATTGGCCTGCACAGGGAGTTCCCCTTACCCACAATCCCCGCTGGTTCAGCAGGCCATCCCACCCCCCAGATCCACCCTGCCCCACTTCTAGGGAGACCTGTGAGCTCAGCTGGCATGGACAAGGGCGCTCCAGCCAGGGGACCCCAGGGCGGAGGAGAGGCGTGCAGGGCCCTCCCCTGAGGTATCACACATGTCCACCAAGGCAGCCCCGCACCTGGCCCACCCACCTGCTTGTTGTGGCGCAAGAAGTGGTAGCCCAAGGCCAGCTTCTTGTAGGCCTGGCCAAACTTCTCGTTCCAGCCCTCGACAGCCTGCATGGCAGCCCGCCTCAGGGTGCGGGCCACCTCCCGGGGGGGCGGCAGGGGCTGCTCGGGGTCCGTGCCCAACGTCAGCTCCAGGAGCTCCTGGAGGTTGGAGACGACCAGCACCCGGAACTGATGCGAGCGCGTGAAGAGCACCTCGAGCACCTGGAAGGCCGAGAGGCGGACCTCGGCGTGCTCCTGGCTCAGCTGCGTCATCAGCAGGTGGTAGACGTGGCGGAGCTGCTCCTCAGAGGATCTGCAGGGTGGGGGCAAGGGTGGATGGGACTCGTGGGCTCCTCCCCAGCTGCCCATATGCCCACTTCCTGCCGGCTACAGCCCGCGAGTTAAGTGGTTGAAATAAACAGGAAAACATTATACTTTATACCACCTGAGAATGGTGTGAACATCCCAGCTCAGGGCCCCTGTGCTTTCCTGGACACAGACCGTGGCTTTTGGGCCTCGAGGACCGCTGCCTTCAGAGACTGGGGAGCTGCGCACACCCTGAAGGCGTACTAGCCTCCTGGCTCTTTCTGGCGACCGGAGCGACTCGCCCCAGGATAATAGGGGGTTCAGCAGGGCACATGCTCCAGTGGAGCCCACCACAGGCCACCCTGGCAGCTAGGTGCAGCCAGGGGCCAAATGGGAAGGGGGAGCTCCTGTGGGAAGGGGGCTGGCCCTCGGGGGAACCATGGTCACTTAGGACAGGGGGAGTTCTGAGGCAGCAGCCAACCCCCTCCAAACTTACAGTGGAGAACCCCTGTCATGGAAGTGGCCACCTCCTAAGCTCTCCTTAGCCCCCAAGCCCAGCGTCTGAGGAGGCTCCCTCCCTCCCTCCCTTCTGCTGGTGCAGAGCGGAGAGCCGGTCAGCACTGCCCATGGAGGGCCTTGTACTCACGTCCAAAGGCCTGCCGAGCCAAGGAGCAAGGAGCCCTAAGTGCCCTCCCCTTGGCCAGAACAGGGCAATCATAAGCCCGGCGAGTCACTGAGGTGGCTTTGAGAGCTCTTGACCAGGGCCACAGAAACCAAGCAACGGGATGTGACCACAAGGTTGCCATGTCCTCCCCCCAAGGCACCTCCCCCTAGGACAGGGCACACTGCCGCCTGGGGTGGAGAACTTGGGCATGCGTGCTCCCCTGCTGTTCCCAAGGACGTGGACAGTAACTGGAGGGGGTGTCTGTATTGTGGGGCAGAAGGGGGGGCAGGGGCAGACCCCAGTGGAGACCCCACCCTCCAGGGCATCATCTACCCAGTGAGCCCCTCGATCTGTAGGAAGAAGCCCTGCCACCTACTTGCAAATTTTCTTCAGCTCCTTTACTTTCTCAGGGTTCAGCTGGGGTTCTCCCGACGTGGTGAGCTCTTCCACCAGAGTGGCGAGCTTCTGGTCCATGTCTAGACGACGTTGACACAGAGACGCCCCTCCAGTGAGGACACAGGTCCCCATGGAACACCGTGGGAGGGACAGGTGACAGACCTGTACTCCACGCCACCTATGCCAGCCACTCCAGGAGCCACGAAGCTGCTGCAGTGGTCGGGCCACTGCCCCCAGGAGATGGCCCCTGCCCCCAGGCAACAGAACTGCGCAAGGTGGTTTTCTGAGAGCGCCCTCCCCACCCCCACCCCAGGCCCTTGGAGTGGCCATTAGGGATGGCAGAGAGAAGGGGACACAACTGTCCTCAACCACCGTGTGGCAATGCAGCCAGTGAGAGGAATGGACGTTAACAGGTTAACAGGTCAGGCTGACACCATGGCCATCACCACGGGCTCAAATGTATCAGCAGTTGCGAGGATGGTGCGGGACCGGGCATGTCCCCTTCCATTGGACACGGGGTCGATACAGGTCACCACAAAATCCATGACAACCCCAACACGTGGCCACCCTGGCACAGCAGTTACACGCGGGGCTGCTCACCTCAGGGTGAGCGGTTCAGAACCACCAGCCCCTCTGTGGAGGAGGTCAAGACCATCCCCGTCAAGATGCATCCTCTAAACCTCACAGGGGCAGTCTCACCCATCCTATAAGGGGTGTGTTAGACTGAACAGCAGCAAATTCTATTGCAGCCAGCTTTTTCCGAAGGAGGGCCTGGTGGCATGGTGGCGAAGGGCTGGGCTGCCAGCTACCAAGTAACCCACTGGAAACCACCAGCCAGTCCGAAGAAGGGAGAAAGACGGGGCTTTCTGCTCCCCGAAAGAGTGAGTCTCAGAAACCCGCGGGGGGTGCTACCCTGTGCAGGAGTTGGCATCGGCTGGATGGCTACTGGGTTTGGTTTTTGAGTTTTCCCAGAGGAATCTGACTGTGTGGTCCACCGGGCAGCCTGAAGGAGAGGGCCAACGTCTCACGACAAGAACCTGAAGGAGGCACCTGTGCAGAGCGGGCACAAGCCTCGAGGGTGAACCAGGGCACCAGTGCAGGGCAGGGCTGGCACCGAGGGAAGAGAGAGGCCAGGAGGAAACGGAGACGGGGTGATGGGGTCGGGGAGGGACACACGGGATGTAGAGCTGAGCTTCCTGGGGTAGAAGGGAAACCCACCAGGGATCAGGGGGCCCCGGGGGGCTCCTGGTCCCCCTCCTAAAGTGTCCTCTATTGAAAACCAAACTCATGCCATCAAGTGGATTCTGGCTCACAGCGACCCTATAGACCAGGGTAGAACTGCCCCTGTGGGTTTCCAAGGCCGTGATTCTTCACGGGGAGCTGAGAGCCCTGTCTTTCTCCGTCTGGGCAGCTGGTGGTTTCAAACTGCTGGCCTTGTGGTTTGCAGCACAAAGTGCAACCACTATATCACCAGCACCCCGTCACCTTAACGAAGCACTCCCCAAACAGACAGGAGGGCAGCTACTGCAGGCAGTGGCATTGCCTGGGGAGAGGGGGTATGTGTGCATGTGCACATACACACGGAGGGAGTTACAGACCACACTGGGTGGCATTACTAGGAGGGTGGCACCAAAATGATAGCCCATCAAATGTGCGTGTATGTGTTTTCAGCTGGAAAAGATTGTTTTTTTATTAAAATAGCCCTGCCCCAAATTTTCCTAAGCTTAACTTCCAACACGCACTGCATGGAGTCGATGCTGACTCACAGCAACCCTGCAGGCCTGGGTAGAGCGGCCTCTGTGGGTTTCTGACAGGAGTGCAAAGCCACAGGCTCCCCTTCCTCCCGAGGAGCGGCACGTGGGTTCAGCCCAACGTGTAACCCCAATCCTTTTGAAAGACACCCCGCCCCCCGCCCTGTACTACACTTAAGCCATCTGCAACGGAAGCCCTGATGTCCTGGCTAATAGGATGGACTCTACCAGCCACTCGGTGGGAAGAAGATGAGGCTGTGTTCTCCAGACCCACGGGGGGGCAGTTCTCTGTCTGGTAGGCTCGAGATGGTTGGAATCGACTTGATGGGGGTACAGCAGCTTTGTTTTGTTTCCTTGCGGTCTCTCCTCGGGACAAAGCTGGCACTTTCTACTTCCACGAAGAGCTACAATCTGGGAAACCCGCTGGGGCAGTTCTGTTCTGTTCTCCTGACCCTTCATCAAGGGACAGCGACCCCCTGGGGGTGCCGAGCCTGTAACTGTTCTCAGCTGGCTCCAGCGGGGCTGCTGGTGGTTTCGAACTGTCCACCGGGGAGATCACAGCCCAACGCATGACCATTGCACCACCAGGGCTCCTGTACTGCCCCGTGGAGTGGCTTGAAGTCGGGATTACTTGACGATTGTCTTGCTGTTTGGTTTGATGCCCCAGTTCTACCCTGTCGTACAGTCACTATGCATCTGAATGGACGCCGAGGCCCTCCGCTCGGTTAGCACTTACTGGTGTGCGACTAAAAGCGGTCATAAACACCGCCGACGGGAGGAGGCCCAGGGAAGAGGGGGGCACCCACCCTAGTGACACCCCAGTGGGCACCCGGAGGGCTCTCCTCCGCTTGGCCCGGCATCCGGAAGTCCCCGCGGCCCGCGACCACGCTGGTTCCGGGAGCCCCTCTCCACGCCAGTCACCCGGTCTAAGGGGCGCCCAGGAAGCGCGGGGGCCCCCCGAGTGACCAAGGAGGGGCAGCCCCGAGGGGAGGAGCCGCCCGAGTCACCGCCCTCCGCCCCCGCGCTGCTCCCGCCGCCCGGCCCGGCCCGGCCCAGCGAACCGAGGGCCAGAGCCGAGGGCGACCCTCGCCCTGTCAAACCGGCGCCGGCCACACTTACCGCCGGTCGCGGCGCTCCCGCCGGCGCCCCGCCCCTTCCGGAAGCGAGGCCCCGCCCTGTTTCGACACGTGACTGAAAGCACTGCGGGTACTGGCCCGAGGAACCCGGACGAGGGGTCAGCCAAGCGGTTGCCACACCCACGGCAGTTCACAGCAAGATCCCGCCTGCGCCCCGCCCCTTCCGGCGGCTCCCTGGCCGCCTCCTGTCACGTGCTCCAGAGTTCGGCAGCCATTGGCTCGTCCTGTCCCGTCGGCGCGGGAACGAGGGGGTGGGGCTGGGGTCAGCGCGGCGACGCAGGCGCGCTCCCGACGAGGCGGGGCGGGCCAGGTTGGCGCAGGAGGCGCGCGGGAAAAAGGAGGCGGGAGGGCGCAGCAAGCTTATCTTAAAGGGGACTGGAGCGCGAGGCGACCTCGCTGCCGCCGCGGGGGCCTCGTCTGCGCGCACCGACGTGGAAACGGAGGCCCAGGGGTGGGTTGCGCTCTCTGTCACCGCCGCGACCGCTGCAAGCTCGCGGTCCCCGGGCACCGGGGCGGCCGGGCGGAGCGTCGGGGTCCACGCCTCACGCCCCGCGCTTCCGGCAGGGCTACCCGCGGGGTCGGTGGGGGTGGGGTCTGACCTCCAGATTCCGGGCCGAGGCCGCCATCGGGAGAGGGGGCGCAGGCCGGCCAAGAGGAGGCCCAAGTGGGGCCGGACGGTGGCGCCCGTGGGCCGTGCGCGCCTTGGCCTGCCCGGGCCACGCAAAGCGTGGGTGGAGCTGGGGACGGAGTGTGACCCTGGGCGCGGGCCCAGGAGCGTGGGGATCGCGGTCAACCAGAAGGAGCTGCTGGGGGAACGAGGCAGGTTCAGACCTAGCTGGAATCAGCTCCACGCCGACTGCCTGGCCGGCCACCTGCCCTTGGGCTGGATAAAACTCCAAAGCCAAACCCCTTGCCCCCGAGTCCATTCCGACTGTTAATGAGCTTATAGAACAGGGTAGCACTGCCCCGGAATCTTCAGGAACCTTAGTTTGGCAAGAGCAGAAAGCCCCAACTTTCTCCAGCGGAGTGGCTGGTGGTTGGGGTTAGCAGCTCAATGCGTAACCGCTGCATCACCAGGGCTTTGCAAGCCGCAGGTACTTAGAGTGTGAACCATCCGGTTTCCCCACCAGGACCCACCCACCGCCACGCTTTCCGCCGCCCTGCACCTGGACCCCTTTCCTCAAAGCTTTGCGCTCAGTAGAGCCATCACTGCCACCATTGTTGTCTTTTTGCTTTGCATCGTTGATCAGACATGAGCTCAATGAGGACTTCTCTTTGTGTGCACGACCCCCAGCCCAGCTGGATCCTAGGGGCGTCGTTTCCAGGGCCCTGTGAGAGTTGGAGATCCCCCTAACCCCAGTCACCTGCATCTGGGGAGCAGGACCCCATGCTGGCTTCATTGCGCCCACAGCTGCTGGGTGGGAATGCCCCGCCTCACATGTGGAAGACTTTAGAAGTCCTGCCAAGGAAACAGAGGAGTCTTGATTCTGCAGGTCTATCCTGGCGCCCCAGACATAGACACACGGATAGTCTCACAGGACTCCCAGAACACATCCCCCAAGACTCCCTGCTCGGTGCTCAGGGCAGGGCCAGGTCCTGCCCCCTGCAGCACCTCCAGGTGGTCTGTGCCTCTCCTCTCCACCAGCCAAGTCCTAGAGACCAACTCCATCTGTCTCTGAGGGCCACACCCTTGTCACTGAGAGTCTCCCAAAAGGCAAACCAAGTGACACCACCTCCTCCCTGCCCATAACCATGGGGCCCTGGCTGAGTCCACCCTCGCACCCACTCGGGACCAGCCTCAGGGCCTTAGCACATGCTGGCCTCCCTCCCTCAGCAGCTCCACCCCGCACACACCCACTCCTTTACCTTGCGGTTTTCTTACCATTTCCTGAGAAAAGCCTGCTGTGTGCCCACACTCCCACACACCCCTTGGGCTCACAGTGCGGCCCACCATGCTGGATACAGAGTACATGCTCGGGAAGAGACCAGATGCCGTCCAGGGTAGGGATGGGGAATGTCTGGCCGAAGGTTTGGATCTCAAAACTCACTGTCATCGAGTCGGGTTGGTTCCGACTCATGACCCTAGATGACAACAGAACTGCCTCCGGGGTTTCCAAGACTAACTCTTTTTACAGGAGTCGAAAGCCTCATCTTTCTCCCACCAAGTGGCTGGTGGTTTCGAACTGCCGACCTTGTAGATCACAGCCCGAATGTGGAACCCACTGTGCCACCAGGGCTCTGCATCAGGCCCTTGGAATTTCAAGACCAGCTCACATCACTGTGAGCCTCTCCAAGAGAAGCCATTCTGGCCATCCCATCAGAGGGGTGTGTGTGGGAATCATTCACAGTCTGACCAGTATGGCCCATGACTTAAAAAACATC